TAAAGGCTCCAGGATTTGCCAAGAGATCAAATATAAACAAAGGACATGAAAAGTAGAAAGGAGTCCAGGCTAGACCCCCAGGTTATTAGCCTGAGGAGCTGGAAGGATGCATGGACTTGTTATCAACTGACATGGGGAATCAGGTGTGGGGCAAGATCGGGAGTTTGTTTCTGGATATGTTACATTTGAGATGCATGGTGGACATCCGAGTCGTGGTATGTGTTGGTTGAGCGAGACAGTTGCGGACCAGGTGCGAAATTCAGGGGTTGGAGGGAGGCCTGGGACAGTAGATACAGGTTTGGGGACCATCAGAGGTGACAGCTGAAGCCATGAGTGTGGCCGAGTTCTTCTCTGAAGAATTGACTGCCCTCAAACGGATCTGGATCAGTGGGAGTGATTGAGGCGGGATTTGCACTTTCCCAAGCAAGAGGGAAGAGCAATCATTCCAGTTGGAGGGAATAGCTTGAGCAGACAGGGAGACAGAGAATCCCAGGCAGGCTCCACACAGGCAGCGCACAGCCTGACACAGGGCTTGAACTCCCAAACTGTGAGATCACGCATAACCTAAGCTGAAACCAAGAGTCGGACGCTTAACCAACTGAGCCACCCAGGCGCCGCTAGCTTTTTTTGTTTTTTTTGTTTTTGTTTTTTTCTCTTTTTAAGTGAGAGTGATTTGAACAGTTGTGATGTGCGTATTTACTCATGCTTCCCAGCTCTGGTACATGCCAAGCCCTGTTCTAGGCACTAGGGACACAGCGGTGAGCAAGGCAAAAGTCTCTTCCTTCGTGGTGATTTCGTTCCAGTAAAGGAGACAAACAATATCGAAAAGGAGGAAAATCTACAGGATGTTAGAAGCTGAGAAGTGTTACGGAGAAAAGTAATGCAAGGAGGGAGGGTTTGGAATTTTAAACAGGGTAGCCAGGACAGGCCTCATTGAGGAGGTGACATTTGAACTTTCAAATAGCATGTCTCTTGCAGTCTGGAACAGTTCTTCAGTCTTCCCTTGACCTTCATGACCTTGATGCTTTTGAAGAGGACAAGCCAGGAATTTTGTTGCATGCCTCTCAGTTTGGTTTTGTCTGATGTTTCCTCATGGTTGGATTCCGGTTCTGCACTCAGGGAGGAAATATCACAGAAGCGACCCGGACTCCTTACTTCATGCTATCATTTGGCTCGTAATTTTAATACTGATAATGGCGGCTTTGTTCCTTTTCCCTTTGGAATGAACTCACATGCATTTCGTGGAGAAATACTTTGAATCTATGTAAATATCCTGTTCCTCATCAAAGTGTAACCGACCTGACCCACCGACTGCTAGTGTCAATGCTAGTTTTAATTTAGCATGTATATATTTTCTAATTCCATCATTGCTGACAATTATTAGCATTATCAGCTGACATTCTCCTGTAAAAATATTTCCTTTCTCTATTTATTTACTCTTTCACCTATTCATTTATATAGGCATTCATTCATGGTTTCTTGAACCTTTATCAAGTGCTTTTTCTGTGGTTCAGATTACTATGTTTGTTTACTTTGGGTCCATTAATGTAGAGAACTACATTTATAGCTTTTCTGATACAGACTCAATTTTTGAATTCCTGGGATAAATTCTATTTGATCAAGGGGCGCCTGGGTGGCTCAGTCGGTTAAGCGGCCGACTTCGGCTCAGGTCACGATCTCGCGGTCTGTGAGTTCGAGCCCCGCGTCGGGCTCTGGGCTGATGGCTCAGAGCCTGGAGCCTGCTTCGGTTTCTGTGTCTCCCTCTCTCTCTGCCCCTCCCCCATTCATGCTCTGTCTCTCTCTGTCTCAAAAATAAATAAAAAACGTTAAAAAAATTTTTTTAAAAAAAATTCTATTTGATCAAAACAGGTTTGCTAAATGTACTAACGAATTCATTTAGCTAAGATTTTGTTAAGGATTTTGACATCTACAGATATAAGTGAAATGGGCTTGAAGTGTTCATGTACTGTCTCATCTGTTTCTGGGGGATGCCTGGGTAGCTCAGTCAGTTAGGCATCTGACTCTTGATTTCGGCTCAGGCCATGATCCCAACGGTTTGTGGGTTCGAGCCCCATGACGAGCTCAGAGCCTGAAGCCTGCTTGGGATTCTGTCTCTCTCTCTCTCTCTCTCTCTCTCTCTCTCTCTCTCTGCCCCTTCCCTGCTCATTTTTCTCTCTCAAAATAAATAAACTTAAAAAAACAAAAAACAAAAAAACCCATTTGGGCCTTTTTTTGGGTGGGGAGAGGAAAGCTTTTGACTACTGTTTTAATCCACTAATTTTTGCTCTACTAAATTGATCTGTTCATGGAATGGTTTTGGCATGTTATATTTTTCTAGGAAGGTATTCATTTCATCTAGGTTTTCGGGTATATGTTCATCATTTTTAAAAGTTCTGTTACAACTATATTAAGTTCCCATCTTTAATTTTGTATTTGGTTTGTTTGCATTTTCTATCTTAATTCATCAGTCTTGCCAGAGGGTGTGTCTTTCCTCTGAATTTTTGTTTCAAAGATTCTGCCTTTAATTTTATGAATCTTGTTTTTCCCTATCTCCTCCATTTCTGCTCTTTATCATTTCCTTGCTTCTCATTCAGGTTTGTTCTGGTGGTCTTTTTCTAACTTTGGGTATAATTTACATATGAGGAAATGCTCAGATTTTAATTATACAGCTTGATTTTTTACCAAAGTATACACCTATGTGACCCATACCCCAGTCAAGATCTAGAACCTTTTTATTATTCCAGAAAGCTACCTTGCAACCCTTTCTAGTGGATACCCTCCCCACCTCCACCCTGCTCTATCACCAAAATGTGTTTTTTTAAGGATTTTTTAAATGTTTATTTTTTAATTTTTGTTAATGTTTATTTATTTTTGAGAGACAGAGACACAGACAGAGTGCGAGCAGGGGAGGGCAGAGAGAGACAGGAAGACACAGAATCCAAAGCAGGCTCCAGGCTCTGAGTTGTCAGCAGAGCCCGATGTGGGGCTCGAACCCACAGACCGTGAGATCATGACTTGAGCTGAGGTCGGATGCTCACCTGAGCCTCCCAGGTGCCCCATAATGTTTATTTTTTTATTTTTGAGAGAGAGGGAGAGAGAGCGCGTGCACATAAGTAGGGGAGAGGGCAGGACGGAGGATCTGAAGTGGGCTCCTCACTGACAGCAGTGAGCCCGGTGCGGGGCTCGAACTCATAAACCGTGACATCGTGACCTGAGCCGAAGTCGGACACTTAACCGAGCCCCCCAGGCACCCCTTAAAGATTAAAAAAAAAAAATTTTTTTTAATGTTTGTTTATTTTTGGGAGAGACAGAGACAGAATGCGGGTGGGTTAGGAGCAGAGAGAGAGAGGGAGACACAGAATCCGAAGCAGGCTCCAGGCTCTGAGCTGTCAGCACAGAGCCCAATGCGGGGCTCAAACTCACGAGCTGTGAGATCATGACCTGAGCTAAAGTCAGATGCTCAACCCACCGAGCCACCCAGGCGCCCCTAAAGATTTTAAAGCAATCTCTACACCCAACATGGGGTTCGAACTTACAACCTTCAGATCAGAGTTGCATGCTCTACCAACTGAGCCCGCCAGGCACCCCACCAATATGTGTTTTGAATGAGAACTTCACTTGAACAGAATCGTATATAGTGTCTTTTTTGTGTGTCTTTCTTCATTCGTTTGTGAGATTCATTCATGTTGATATTTGTAACAGTACTTTGTTCCTTTTACTCCTGAGTTGTAGTCCATTGAACAGACCCTAATTTATCCATTCTCCTCTTGTTGGATGTTTGGGTTCCCAGTTTTTGGCTGCGGTGAACACAGCTGCTCTCCATGTACATATAACAAGTCTTTTTATTGACACGTTTGCATTATTTGGGGTAACTAAGAATGAAATTGCTGGGTCATAGGGTGCTATGTTTACCTTTATATGAAACAGCCCAACAGTTTTCCAGAGTGACTGTACCATTTACTACTGCCAACCATGTACAAGGCTTCCTTGTTGTGGGATTCCAGAGCCCTGGGGGGTGGGAAGAGGGAAGGGAACATGTAGGTGCCTCCAGACTAAAAGCCACCCATCCTGAGACAGGTGGCCTCTTTCTATTCCTATTTCCTGTCCCTCTCCCCTCCCCCACACCCTCTTCCCTCAGTCCCTGGGCAATACCCCCACCCCAAATCAGCAGCATTATCACCTCTAGGGGGCCCCTCCTTTCTCACCTCGCCTCCTACAGCTGGTGCAGGGAGATGTCACTACGCAGGCCAGTAAGTGGGGGGAGGGGCTTTGTGCCGACTGCTCTCCCCTTACCACCTCCCCTTCCACCTTCTGGTTTCACAGACAAGTATTTGGGGGAGGGGCCGTTCCTGGCCCAGTTTCTGGCGCAGCCCTCCAAGGCCGGGAGAGGGCAGCCCCAGCCTCATTTTCCACCGCACCCAGACCAGTGCTGAGAGTACGCACGCACGCGTACTTGGGAATCACAGGGTGCAGATAGGTCCCTGGTGACCAGAGGGGCGGGTGCTATGCTAACAGCCATGGAGAGCACAGGAATGAGCGTGAACCCAAGCAGTCCTGATGGGGCAGCTGTGGGACCAGGGACTGGCAGGCTGAGCTTCTCTATCTCCACCCCTCTGGGGCCATCCGTTCACTGAGGGCACAGCGGCAACTGGTGCCAGAGTGCCCACTGTCGTCCAACTGGGAGATGCCCTAGGACAGTCAAATGCAGTTTAAGTTTAGCCCTGAGATTGCACAGCAGGTGCAGGGTTCCCAGTGCTGGCGGGTTTCCTGGTATATCGAGACTTGCTAGACCTGACGACGGTGAGGGGGGCTGTGACCAGGATCCTGTGGGTTGGGGCACAGGCCAGAACTTCATGTTCAGTCCCCACACACCAGACACTGCGAGTGCCAGCAATGCCACCCACCTCAGCCCGAGGAGGCCCCTCGTCCATCTGCGTTTATGTCCCTGTGTCTGTGTGCGTCACAAACCGTGCTGGCGCAGGAGAAAGAGACGTGCAAGCTACGGACTTTTCAGCTTTTATTACAAAAAGAAGAGCATGATCCCAGCCCAGCTTTCCAACAAAAGTCACCAATTTAAAGTCTGACTTGGTCAGGGCCTCTCTGGCTGGGGAGTAGGCTAGCAGACAGGTGCAGGGCCCCACTCAGACCACCCACCACTTCACCCTCCCCTGCCCTGGGCCGGACACCCGACATATGTAGAAGCAGCTCTCACAGCTGCTCACTGGGCCTCGTTGAAGCGGGTCACCATTGTCTTGTGCAGTGTCTCCTTGTAGGACTCGGTTGAGGTGACCCCGTAGGAGCTGCCTCGGGCCCCCAAGCCGGAACCCCGCACCCGTGTCTGGGCCTATGTGAGGGAGGTAGGCCGTCAGGTGAGCGGTGGGATGGGGGTGCAGCAGAGAATGCTGGAAGACGGGGACGGGATCACAGAAGTCTCACCTCAATGGGCGTCACGATGCCCTGCTTCTTCCGGCCCAGGCCACTACCTTCTTTCCAGCCCATGGCCTGGAGCATACGACTGCCAATGTTGTCGCTGCCCAGCCCATCCCGTGTGGGCTGCTCAAAGTCCCTGCGGGGCCAGTGGTACAGTGTGAGTGACCAGCCTGCCGGCCCCGGGTCCACACTTCGGCTCTGGGCACTTACACAGAAGCTGCAGACATGCCGCCGTACTTCCTCCGCTTGGGCTCCGGTGGCTCAGGGATGCCGTACTTCTCTCTGCGTTCAGCTGCACGGTCCCGGTACTTCATTTGCTGAAAACGTGTGTGCGTGTGCGTGCGCATGTGTGTGAGGACGGGGGAACCGGTGGCTACTCGCAGGAAACATTAGGGGCCCCATGGGAGCTGGATCTGGCTAACAGGTCTGAGGTCCCGTGGGCAGGACATCGTGGGTACGAGCAGCCAGCACGGGGGGAGTCGGGAAGAAGCCTCGCAGGGACAGGAGGTGAGACGGCTGATGGCAGCCAGGCAATATCCAGCTCAGGGACTTGAGCGCCAGCTGCCTGAGGGGACAGGCACTTGGCAAGGGACAGAGGGGATGGAGCCCAGGAATGGGTCACACCTCACCTCCATGTCGTTCTTCTCCAGTGCTTCCAGCTCATTTTCCGACAGGTGCGCTCGTCGGTGAATCTCAAGGTTTTGCTGCAAGGGGACAGGCAGGAGGAGGTGTGAAGTGGCCGGGCAGGGCCGGGCAGGGCCGGGCTGGGCCAAGCAGAGCCGGGCTGGGCCAAGCAGAGCCGAGGTTCCCTGCCAATCCTCCCTCAGCCACCTTGTGTAGCCCAGAGAGCTGCTGGTGGCGGATGAGCGCCTCCTTGCTGGGGAACTGGCGCCGGCAGAGCAGACAGGCCAGCTTCTGCCAGTCAGTGAGCTTCTCCTCCCGTTCCGGACCCCCGCGCTCCTGCTCCTCCTCGCTGTCACTCTCCCCGCTGTAGGCTGCCACGAGGCCCCGAGGTGGGCTCTGGAGAACATGAGCGTAGGGGTGGGAGGTCAGGCCTGGCCAGATCGCCCCACCCCCACCCCTCTTCCTGCTCCGACCACTCACTGGGCGGTCATCGCTGGCCAGTTTCGGGAGGTCCATGCTGGTGTGCTGTCTTTCAGCTAGTGCTCCCTGGGGAAGACGGACACACAGAGTCAGGGACTCCACAGAGGGACCGTTGAAATGACAAGACTTGGGGCGGGGAGTGGGTAGTGGAGGGGCGGCCACAACACACCTTCTTCTCGAGGATGGCATAGCCAGCATCTGCGGTAGCTGATTCCCGCCTTTCATCGTCTCGCAGGGAGCTGATGGGCTGGAAGCTGTTTTTGAAGTTTTCTTTTTGCTTGTTGAGGCTGCGGGCCCAGCGTTCCATGTCCTTGGCAATCTAGGGGGAAGGGTGGGGGTGAGGCTCTCGGGGCCCCTCCGACTGCTGTAACCGCCAACTCCGTCCACTGCCCCTTCCCACCCCGCAGCCTCAAGCAAGAGGTGAGGAGATGGCCGTGACGGTCCCCCCTTGTCGTCATTCTATCACCGGTGGCCCCCATCAAGCCCTCTTGGGCCGTGTCCCCCATTCTCCTGACAGGCACACACACGATTCCGCTCTCTGTGGGCTTTCATATCGTCTTACCATTCCACACTGCACAAAATGGCTTTCTCCGGGTAGGATTTTAACACACACCCGTGATACTCTGCCACACTCCACATTCTGCTCCCCCCACCCCAGGCACAACATGACTTTTAGCATTTACCAGGTAGTCAAGGGAACACTTAGTTCTTACTCAGCACTTGGTTCGGCACTGAGCGCTACACCCAGACTGTCACACTCTTCTTCCCCAGGCAGACACTGACGTTCCCTCCAACTGCCCACGCCCACCAAACGCTGCTGTGGCCGCTTTCCCACCCGCACCCTGAGGGGCCCATGAGAAGTTCTCTGGGACGGACAACCGGACACATACTCACGAGTGGGGTACTGGGCCCAAAGGAGGTCTGCCTGCCCGTTCGTTTCCACAGGCAGGGTTAGCCTGGCTTCAGGCATGCAGGCAACCTGAGGGTTCCCACTGGGGGACAGGAAGGCTGACTGGGCTCGCTTGGATGGATGGCACTGGCCACGCAGGGAGGTGGGTGGCCCTACCACATACTGAGGAGACTGCCCCAGCTTGAGGTCAGTCACGCATCAAAGAGCAGAACTGGGCCAGGAGCCTGGTCTCTCTTAAGCACAATCGCTGCCACCACGCACACATCTGCCCTCCGCCCTTGGTAGTGGAAGGTTAAAGAGGATAGAAGCACGTTCTTCATCGGAAGACATCACACAGCCAGCCAGTGACTGCTGAACCCCCGGTGTTCACCTGTTGGGCTGTCTTGGTCTTGTGCTTCTCCTTCTTTTCTTTACCCTCTTTCGAGGGGGCCCCCGTCTCCTTATGCCCGTCGGCTGACTGTTCCAGCGCAGGGACGTAGGTCCGTCTCTCCCCGTCCCAGTACAGGTACTGCTGGCTCTGAGCGTTGTAATAATACTGGGGGAGGGGCAATGCAAAGGCATGAGGGAAGACCTTAAGGAGAACTACAGACCCCACCCACTCCCTGGGCCACCCTATCACCTGGGAGTTGGGGTCATAGTAGAGGCCAGTCTGGGGGTCATAGTAGTAGCCAGAGGTCTCGTCATACTGGTAAGTAGACACGTCCGGAACAGCTGGGGGAGGGGAGAAGGGGCGTCACGCTCTTCTGTGCTTTGCTAAGGAACTCCCCCCGCCCTCCCACCCACGGGCCGTGGCTACTCACGGTACTGGTTGTAGGACTCCTGGGCAGTGGGGCTGGTGGCTGGTGGCAGGGCAGAGCTGGGATGGGTAGGGCTCTGGAGCTCAGATTTGAGCACAGCGGGTGACATGATGGTGTATGACTGGTCACGGGGCCAGACAGGGGAACAGGGCTCAGTGTCTGCCAGCGCCCGCCCCCCCAGGAACCCTGCCTGTCCCCCAGCACCCCCTGGGCTCTCTCACCTGGCTGTTGGCAGCGGTGCCCTGGCTGCCGCTCGCCTCAGCTGATTGCTGGTAGATGCCAGGTGCGGCACCAGGCTGGGCACGGGAGAAAGCCTGCAGTGACACAGAGTCTGTCCCAGGCTCCAGGGAGGCCTCAGGACCTGTAAAGAGGGCCAGGGAGGGAGGGGGGGGGAGAATACCTGTTAGTGGTGGGGCCCAGGACCCCATGCCCGTTGACCCCCACCACGGGCTCAGGGAGAGATGCTGGGGCTCACCTGCTCCAGCTGGGTCCCCTTTGGTTCCAGTGATGCCGGGGCCCTTGGTGCCCTTGAGGTAGCCATGGGCATAGAGGGAGGACTCTGTGCCCTGGCTGCCGCCATAGCCCTCATCCTGTTGGTAGTAGCTGTAGTCGACCGGTGGCTCCTCGGGGGTGGCCCAGGCACCCTCCCCACCCTGGGAGGCCTGAGGGGCAGTGGGAGGGGCTCATTAGCAGAGGAAGGGGCGCAGGGGGAGGGGAACCTGCTAAGAAGCATCTGCCCACAGGTGAGGCTTGTGCCGGTCTGCCGACAGAAAGCATGCAGGCCTCAGACAAGTGAAGTGTGAGGGCCACCCGGCCACAGCAGGGCAGGACAGCGGCAAAAACAAGAAAGGAACGAAGACTTGTGCCAAAGTGCTCCCACGGCTGACACTGGTACGTGTGTGGCGTGGTTCGTGTGCTGGGTATCAAGGAAGACACCGTCCTCCCCTTCTTTACTCTCCTCTCCCAATTTTCTTTCAGCCACTTATAAACTCCGTTTCATTAAATAAGTTGAATCAATTCAGGACGATAAAATAACCACCAAACAGAAGCGAAAAGCAGCTGTGATGGTGTTGAAGTTGAAAGCCTGGGAGGAGGTGACTGGGGAGGGAGCTGCAGCGAGGCGCCCAAAGCCCACGGCAGCCACCGTGACAGGGTCTGGGGTCCACGGAAAGCCAAAACAGCAAGCCAGCCCTCCAGGCTGTGCAGAGAGGGCACGGAAGGGTCGAGGTGGCCCCGGTATGGGGATGCTGGGGCAGAGGGGAGTCTCTGAGTACCTGTGAGATGGCCCACTGGGCCGCAGCAATGGCAGTGCTGGCCACAGAGGCAGCATTGATGCGGCTGCCTTCATTGGAGGCCATGTCCCTGGAGAGGATGTCAGAGACTGGGAGTGAGACGCGAGGCCCAGCCCAGGGGGCCAGCTAGGAAAGGGCACAGGTGGAACCCTGACCTCTTAGAACCCTTGGCGAACTCAACGTTGATGGTCTTGCCGTCGATGGTGAGCGGTGGGTGCAGGGCCTGTAGGATCTGCAGTAGCTGGGCTGCTTCCTGGGGGGAGGAGGGGGTAGGCGGAGGCAGAAGGGTCAGGCCCGGGGAGGTCCCCGGCTCCACTGCCCCATTTCCAGGCTTGGAGCCGGGGGGGGGGGGGGGGGGCGGGGCTCGGGGTCCCTCCTCCCCGCCCCGGGGGCCGGGACCCTGGCTGCCCGGCCCCCCCCTGTGCCGCCCTCACCACGATGGTGGAGAGCTGGATGAAGGCGAAGCCGCGATTCAGTTGGGTCTGCTTGTCCTTGATGACGCGTACATTGGAGGAGGACAGCACCGCATAGGGTGCCAGGGCCCCCAGGATGGAGTCCATGGTGCTGTGTGGGTTCAGGTTGCGCAAAATGATGGCTGTGGGAAGGGGCCCAGCATTAGGGGGCACCCCTGACACCCTGCTCCAGCCCTACCCTCTGGTGGCTCCCCACTGTCCCTCTTCTCTGGCTTCCATGTCTTTGCACCTGCCGCTTCCTCTCACCTCTTCCTCCTGGATAAACTCTCCTTGTCAGTCCAAGTCCCAGCTCAGTCACTCACCTGCTGAGAACCTTCTCAACACACCCCCAAAGTCGAGTCGGGCAACGCTCCTCTCCTGCTCTCCCTACATCACATGTGTGTCCCCCCCCACCAAGCAGAGAGACCCTGGGAGGGCTAAGTCCTGGTCACCGCCATCTCTCTGCGCTTGGAGAGTCTAGCCCAGACAGACACCCTAGGGCAGGGAGAAAGGAAGGAACAACTGACTCACTGTCATTGGCGTTCTCTGAGCTTGGCTCCGAGCCCTGTGACAGGGCTTGGGAGGCCAGCACTCCCTGGGCCTGGTAGGGCTGAGGCAGGGGGAGCAGGCCCTGGCTTAGCTCCCGTCCACCCAGAGGCAGCGTCTGCTGATCCAGCCTTGCGCCCAGGGGCAGCTTCTGCTCCGCCTCTGTCAGGGATGGCACAAGACAGGCTGGTGACGAAGAAGGAGGCTCCAAGGCTGGCCACCCTCCTCCCAGGACACCGGCCCCTCCCCCTCCTCCCCTCTCCCACCAAAGTCCCAGGGAGGTGGGGAGGTAGGAGGGCCTCACCTGACTTGGGCACACCACATTTGAAGCACTTCTCACGGCGTTTGAAGTTCTGGACGCCACACTGTGAGGCACAGGCCAGGCCGTCAGAGCCGGTGGGGCTCTCCACTGTACCCTCCAAACTTGGATCCAGAGACCACCCCTCCCCCCACCTCAGGGAACCCCACGATGCTCCAGGAAGGAAGGTCCCAGGGTCAGGGGTGGAAGGGGGCTCCAGCTGTCATTCTCAGTCTGTGGATCTTCCCTTCACACAGTCTCAAGTCTGTCCTCAGGGCCATCCCCTCAGCTCGGGAATCAATTCCCCCACCCGTAACAAGTGCCACCCCCTCCTCGTCCCTTTAGCAGGTTCCTCTTCCTGAAACTTGCTTCCCTGTTAGAGACCTTCAGTGTCTTCACCCCTAAAAGCCAGTGGCCACTCTCGTCAGACTCCCATCCCTCGTTTATCTCAAGAATTGGGTTGATTCTCTTGAGAAACCAGCCTTGGCCATCCCAGCCTCCAGAAACCCCCAACTTCTACCAAATCTCTCTCTGTTCCGTGGTCACGTAGTGCGCACTGGTCCCACGCCAGGCTCTGCCCTGTATGCCAGGGCGTGGCCTCTGTCATCCTCGAGGCCTCACAGCAGGGGGCAGATGTAGCACAGGGAGGCAGGTTAGTCTGTGGGGACCCACGGAGGGGAAGAGGCCAAGAGGGGTATGGCTCACTTAGCTGGGGACAGTTGGCAGGGATGTTTGATCTGGGAGGCCCAGAAGTTTGCTTTGGTTTTGCTGGGAAGCTATGGCTAGCGAAGGGAACAAGAGATTTTCTGTAGCTGGTGTAGGAAGGTGAGGCCAGACAAAAGCCGAAGCTGGAGAGGGCAGGTGAAGTTAGATTATAGAGGGTGGTCACGCTTAAGTTCAGAGTTGGCGAGGTCCTAAGCAGAGAAGGAAGGATGTGGTTAGAGGTGGTTTCGAGGAATGTTACAGATGAGAGGGTGAGAGAAAGAGGCAAGGCCAGAACAGCAAAAGAGGGGTCCACAGCGGGACACAGCGTGTGACAACTGGTCTGGGTGGTGGGAATTGCAAGGGAGGGCATTTCTGTGATGGAAGTGACAGGACCTGGTGACCAAGAGGATGTGGGGAATAGAGGAGGGGACAGGAGGGAGTTCCCTGCTTTTGAGGAGTCTCTGAAAATACAGGAGAGACACAGTGCCACTATCACTTCGTCTCTACCTCTGCAGAGACATCGGACACCCTGCCTTCTGATAACACTTTCTTTTTAAACCAACGGTGCCACTCCCCTAGTAGGCAGAGTTCTTCTCGGGGAGCAAGTCGGGGCGTCTGCCAGCTCTCAGGACCACCGGCTGGCTATGGGGTCTCGGGCCGCCTCGGGGCTGCTTGTGAGGCTGGCCCCAGGGGAGACCTGAACCCAGGGTGGCGTCCGGGGCCCCTGTTATCAGGAGAGGCTCACCCACGGTGGCACCCCTTTGAGCCTCAGCTTCCTCGTAGGGAATACGACTCCAAGACCCCACAGCTTCTACCCTGGGCCTCTGGTGGACATGGCCTTGTCGCAGGGGCCATCAAGGTCGGGTCACCTGACTCAGGCTCTCACCATGCCCTGTGCTTTCTTTTGGGGGGGTATGGGCAGACATTAAAGGGTGCTAACCATGGGCCAGGTGTCGTTCCAAGTGTCACCCTCTCATCGCCACACTGGAATCCTCCCAACCACCTCTGGGGAGAGGTGTCATCGCTATTCACATTTTAGAGAGGAGGAGAGCGAGGCAGAGATCAAGGAGGATCCGAGAGGGTCTAATTCCAGCCAGTCCGGCTCAGAGGTCCACATTCTGACACACCGCATTGTGCCTCCACTGTCACTAGTTGGTCCCTTACGTAAGTATTTGCTGAAAGCCCACTGGGACTTCAGCCAAGACTGTACTACGTGAGGGCAGAGCCTGGCGCCAATGAGAGCCCAGTAATCACAGGCGGGCGGGTGGGTGGGTAGACGGCGAGGAACGGTGGCTACTTGAGCTCAGCCAGTCCTCGACGCCTATGCCACCCCCAGAGGCCCCAGGGAGACAGACGCCGCCGCCGCCGCCGTCTCTATCCATGGCAACCGCTGCCCACCGCCCCTGTACCTTATTACACAGCCAGTCCTCATTGATCTTGGGCTTGGGGTCGCTGTAGTGCATGGACACCTTCTGGCCCAGGATGTTGAGGGAGTGCTGCGGGAAAAAGCAGAGCACAGTGAGGCCCGGGCAGCAGTGCCCCACGCACCGTTTCAGCACAGGAGAAGAGAGTGAGCGAGCCCTTCAGCTGGATGGATGAGGGACAGGGAACGGAGGGAGGTCGGAGAACGGACGAGGGAAGAAGGAAGGGAAGGAGGGAGGGAGAGCGCCACAGCCCTCGGGCGCAGCTGTTTGCTGCCTTTCCGGGCACGCGCACGCACACGTGAACACACGCCACCAGGCACACGGTGCTCGGCTGACCGACGCCTGCCGGACAGTGGGGGAAAACCCCCCACTCGACCCTGATGCTGCCAGGCCACACCCAGGGCCAGCACTACACAGGCTACACTCGGGATGAGGGGGACAGGGAGGGGAGGGAGAGGAGGGGAGAGAAAGAGAGAGAGAGAGCGCACGCGCGCTAAGTGCTGGAGAAGGGGAAAAAGAAAGAGCCATATTTAAGAGATGGAAGTTCCTGCTGTGAGGCTGTCTTCCCGGGGCTGGCTGGGTCCTGGGCCCACAGCATTAGGGCAGAGATGGCCCCAGGGCCGCCCTGCTGAGCCCTGCTTCCACCTCTTCTGCCCCTTCGTCCCCTGAGGCTTTCCTTCGGTGCCCCACACCAGTGAGCTGGGCTCTGGGTGGGTGAGCAGAGCAGGTCCTTGGGTCTCTGAAGGTCCCAAAGCTGCTGGGTGGGGAGACCGTGCCAGGCAGGGGAGCAGGCTCCCTTCCCTTCCCTAGAGCAGGAGTCTCTGCTGAGAGGGCAGGTCTGCCGGCAGCAGAATGGGGCAAGCAGTGACTTCCGTGGAGGGGTTAGGTGCAGGGGGCGGGCTGGGGCACCTGAAGGGAGTTCTATCACATCTGACTGCTACTTCAGATCCACAGAGCAGTGCTGGCCGCTCACACCGAAATCAAAAGGCCGAACTCACATGCAGGGAGAGAGCTGGCCAAACGGGACTTGCCAGTTAGTGTGCCAACAGCTAAGTCCCCCAGTGGCTAGGCTTCCAGTGGCGCCTGAGAGTGGAACGAAGTCCTGGCTCTGCCTAACCCCTGAGCAGGGTGGTCCCCGGGGACTGGGAGCCTCGGTGGAAGAACCTCCCCCCGCCCCCAGCAGCCCTTTGTCCAAAAGCTCGGCTGGGAAGTGGAGGGACAGAGCTAATAGCGTCTGGTAGGAAGGGGCCAACGGTGAGTGTGGGTTCTTGATGGGAAGCCCGGTGGGTAGCAAGAGATGGGAGGAGGAGATAGTGAGGGTCAGGAAGGGGGAGAGAGAGAGAGGGGGCGGGGAGGGGGGATGGGACACAGGGCCACAGGGCAGGGAACTGTGTCCATAAGAATCAGGCGATGGGGAGCGCTCGATTACAAAGTAGTATTTGTTTGGGGGGGGGTTCAAGTGCGGCAAAGCAACCTGATTGGCTTCCATCCATCGTGTAGCGTCCTGCAAGTGACTAAACTCGACGAAGGCGAAGCCCCGGCTCTGACCTGGAGACAGCATTCAGATACAGACGC